TGTTCCTGTCGTGTCCGTCATGTTCCTGTCATGTCTCTGTCATGTCTCTGTCATGTTCGTCATGTTCCTGTCATGTCTCTGTCGTGTTCCTGTCATGTCTCTGTCGTGTTCCTGTCAAGTCTCTGTCATGTCCCTGTCATGTTCCTGTGATGTCTCTGTCATGTTCCTGTCGTGTCACTATCATTTTCCTGTCGTGTCACTATCATGTTCCTGTCGTGTCACTATCATGTTCCTGTTGTGTCTCTGACATGTTCCTGTCGTATCCCTGTCGTGTCCCTGTCGTGTCTCTGTCATGTTCCTGACATGTCTCTGTTATGTCCTTGTCGTGTCTCTGTCATGTTCCTGTCATGTTCCTGTCATGTCCCTGACGTGTCTCTGCCGTGTCCCTGTCGTGTTCCTGTCATGTCTCTGTCTTGTCTCTGTTATGTCTCTGTCATGTCCTTGTCATGTTCCTGACATGTCCCTGTCATGTTCCTGACATGTCCCTGTCATGTTCCTGACATGTCCCTGTCGTGTTCCTGTCAAATGTCTGTCATGCCCCTTTAATGTCCCTGTCGTGTCTGTCATGTCCCTGTCGTGTCTTTGTCATGTCCCTGTCGTGTCTTTGTCATGTCCCTGTCGTGTCACTGTCATGTATTTGACATGTCTCTGTCATGTCCCTGTCATGTTTCTGACATGTCCCTGTCATGTCTTTGTCGTGTCCCTGTCATGTCCCAATCATGTCCCTGACATGTCCCTGTCGTCTCTGTCATGTTCCTGTCATGTCCCAATCATGTCCCTGACATGTCCCTGTCATGTTCCTGTCGTCTCTGTCATGTTCCTGTCATGTCTCTGTCGTGTCTCCGTCATGTTCCTGTCATGTCTCTGTCATGTCTCTGTCATGTTCCTGTCGTGTCCCTGTCATGTCTCTGTCATGTCTCTGTCATGTTCCTGTCATGTCCCTGTCGTGTCTCTGTCATGTCTCTGTCATGTCTCTGTCATGTTCCTGTCGTGTCCCTGTCATGTTCCTGTCATGTCTCTGTCATGTCTCTGTCATGTCCCTGTCGTGTCTCTGTCATGTCCCTGTCGTGTCTTTGTCATGTCTTTGTCGTGTCACTGTCATGTCCCTGTCATGTTTCTGACATGTCCCTGTCATGTCTTTGTCGTGTCCCTGTCATGTCCCAGTCATGTCCCTGACATGTCCCTGTCATGTTCCTGTCGTCTCTGTCATGTTCCTCTCATGTCTCTGTCATGTTCCTGTCGTGTCCCTGTCATGTCTCTGTCATGTTCCTGTCATGTCTCTGTCATGTCCCTGTCGTGTCTCTGTCATGTCCTCACTGACATTTTGTCCTCTGTGGGACAGATCCAGGCCTCTGTGAAGATGTGGCTGCAGAGGAGGAAGTATTTACGCCGACTCAGCTTCTTCAGACAGAACGTGAGTCCTCCTGGTTCTTTATGTTCCTGCTGTCAGCCAATCGGGGCCAGAGGATGCCTTATCTCCATGGTAACAGCGTACCTGTGTGCTGATAGGTGGATGCTGTCATAAAGATCCAGGCCTTCTTCAGAGCCAGCAGAGCGAGACACGAATACCGGATGCTGGGTGGGTCCACAGCTGCACCCCTTTAAATGATGTCACAAATATTTTAGGCTCCTCCCTTTACCTGTCTGCTATAACTCTGCCCCCCCACCTGTCTCAGTCTGTTCAGACACCCCCCCTCTTTCAGTACTGAGGAAGTTTCTTCACCTGCTGGACCTGGGTGATGCTGACATCAGAGAAGAGGCGGAGCTTCTGCGTCTGAGGGAGGAAGTGGTGAGAAGCATCCGTTTTAACCGTGAGCTGGAGGCGGACCTGGACTTGATGGACCTGAAGATTGGACTCCTCGTCCGGAACAGAGCCACGCTACAGGTCAGAACCCCGATCCAGACCTTTAGAGTTCTGGTCCAACCCACACCACCACCCTGAGCAACACCCGAGCTGTGCTCCTGCTTCTGAGCCTGCAGGTGTGTGTGTCTCAACAGGAAGTGGTGTCTCAGTGTAAAAAACTGACCAGGAAGAACAAGGAGCACCTGTCTGACCTGATGGACATGGAGCGGAGACAAGGACTGAAGGCTCTGAGCCGAGACAGGAGGGACAGACTGGAGGCCTACCAACACCTGTTCTACCTGCTGCAGGTGAGACACACACCTTTTCTACCTGCTGCAGTTGAGACACAACCTGTTTTACCTGCTGTAGGTGAGACGCACACCTGTTCTACCTGCTGCAGTTGAGACACAACCTGTTTTACCTGCTGTAGGTGAGACACAACCTGTTTTACCTGCTGTAGGTGAGACGCACACCTGTTTTACCTGCTGCAGTTGAGACACAACCTGTTTTACCTGCTGTAGGTGAGACACACACCTGTTTTACCTGCTGCAGTTGAGACACAACCTGTTTTACCTGCTGTAGGTGAGACACACACCTGTTTTACCTGCTGTAGGTGAGACACACACCTGTTTTACCTGCTGTACCTGCTGTAGGTGAGACACACCTGTTCTACCTGCTGCAGTTGAGACACAACCTGTTTTACCTGCTGTAGGTGAGACACACACCTGTTTTACCTGCTGCAGTTGAGACACAACCTGTTTTACCTGCTGTAGGTGAGACACACACCTGTTTTACCTGCTGTAGGTGAGACACACACCTGTTTTACCTGCTGTAGGTGAGACACACCTGTTTTACCTGCTGTAGGTGAGACACACACC